ATGCAAGGGCTATCTTGGTGGATGTATTACTCCTTTCAGCAGGTGACTTGTGGATGCCGTTTGCCTAGAAATCCTGAGCTTTCGAAGGCAAAAAAACTGGAAGAAGTCCGTTTTCGAGTAGTCCGGATCATGAAGCTCTCCCTCTTTTAGTTGAATCAGCAGCAACAGAAGCAGACGGTATTCTGTTGGGGCCAGATCTGCTGAACACAACTGGTGAGACAGAACATCCCATAAGGGGCTTGGAGACTTTGCTGGACCATCTTCAAAATTCCTTGACGGTCGTTGCTTGGATGAAGTGAACTTTGCAGCGTTTTCCAAGCATAGCATAGCTGCCGGTGGAGCCATCAGTTTCCCCATATTCGTCGGAATCCCTGGTTCTACACGTCTGAGCCAGTGGCGCTCGCGGTGTGGTTTACTTGAGGAACCCACTCCTTGCTACCACCAACAAAGTAGTCGGGTCAAACAAGATACAGCCGGTAAATCAAAATGTTCATGCAAAATCTGAAGGCTTCTGAGGGCGGTTGTCACCCAGATCACGAAATCTCCTTTTGCCATAATTTCTCTTCTTTTTGAGGAGCTATTGAGGAATGGCTATTGTGTTCTGATGACTGTGGAAAAGCTGTGTGTCAGCTACCGTGTATTGCACCAAGAACTGTTTCCAAACAACTCCAGAAGACACTCGTCACTCAGGGTAACAACCCAACCGACTTTGGGTTTTTTCTCGAGTTTCTGGCCATCGGCAACCAAATGTTTGCCATGTCGTGAAAGACACTCTGAAGGTCCATCGCAAGACGTAGGGCTCTTGCCGCATCGCTTCCACTGACGCGTTTTCTGGGTTTTAGAATCAAGAGTAGCCAAATATGCTTTCAGTCAAAGTCGATTTTCTCAGCCATAATCGCTGCGAAATACCACGGCAGAAATGCTCTGAAGAGATCATTGACTAGGGTTTATTGAAGAATTTTGCCACAACTTGATGGTCGAAAATTACCCGAGAAGGATTTTACCAACATACACATGGAAATGGGCAAAGGAACTTCTGGGCAACCGTCAATAGTATACGTTGATCCTGACCTAGTATTCGCCTCAGAACCGTGCGAGCAGCATTACCAAAGTGAAGTTCGGGCTGTTCATTTGGGAGAAAGGAGATTCTGAGATGCTTCTGATGATTCTATCACATTACTGAAGTCAACCTAAAGAGCCATTCCACGCTGATTTTTGCAGTGCTTGTTTTTGTGCAGTGAAGTGGTGGTTCTCAAACCAGGCTACCGAGCGAAAATAGCAAACCGAGAACAATATCCTCTAAATACGGGGTTTGGGTGTGACTGAGTTGATGGATACTGGCTGCGAAATGGCCGTCAGGCGTCCAGCGTGATCGTAGTGGACCCAACAACAGAGTGGTGAATAGACTAATGGTAAGGGGCAGGGTCAACCGTCCGCGCGCACTATTCGAAAGCGGGGATAGCATTTCGAGTTGATCAAGGTTGACTAACACTGAAAAAAAATCAAGCGGGGGTCGTGTTCTTGGAAGTTGAAGGGTGTTGGATTGTTTAGAAGATTATCTGCTTTTATTCTGACCACAGCAAGTTTTCGAGTTCTTCAAGATAAATCTCTGGCTAATCTAATACATTTTATAGAATGATGTATAGAATGATCTTCTTCGGATCATTACCAACATGGGAGCGTGAAATGAGGTGGCTGATTAACTCCTTAAACATTCTCAGTAAATGAAGTAAACGATATACGTCAAATTGAGCATTATTAAAACGCTTCAGATGCTCTATGGAAGACAATGCTGATCATAGTCATAATATAGTGGACATCAAAGAATTCTAATGATTTTCTCCTTAACTTTCGAGGTAACATTGCTAATCTTCGATCCTGAGTATCCTATCCTGCATATGCACCCTAAGACTTTATAATTAGTAGCTTTTTAAGCCTAAAACTAATGTCTGGCAAGATGCCAAGCTTCGCGCCATGGATACTCTGCATGTCTGCATCCCCTGGGGAGCCCCGCGAGCATAGCATACGGCCGCTTTCGGGGCGGCCGCAGCCGGGGAGCTCCCCCAATAGGGGGCCCCTCCCTTGTTGGGGGAGCATAGCATACGGCCCCAGATCACCCTAGCTGCTACGTCGCTTTTCAGACCTCGTGGATGTGGGGTTAATGAGTGCTCCATCACAAACGCACTTAAGCACAACCAAGTGAGATCCCACTTCGATCGCGCTACCAAGTGCATTTAGTTAGAAAATTGCTCTGGGCGCATTTCGCAATGCGACACACCACGTGACGACTGCTGCGCTGGCCGCACACCGCCTCTCGCACGAACGTTCGTCATCACTATTTCGTATTGATAACGATTGTGGCTGTCGGTCTCTTATGCAATTCACTTTATTTCCGTCATGAACTTCTATATGCAAGGCGCTTTGTTTCGAAGATGTTTGAAAGCATGAAAATGCTGCACATTTCAATCTACCTCGATGTTATCCTTTGGTTATGATGTAAATGTGGTTGTGATTTCCTCGGGATCTAAACGATTTTTATCGGTGCTTGATGCAGTTTACCTTTTTTAAGTAGTAGCGCTCAGCGAACTGAAGTAAATGAGTCGCATTTACAATAAGTCGAGAAATCAGGCATTTCAATGTTCTTGTTTTGATGGGATGGAACGCTGCGACAGCTGTGCATATATGCGTAGTGATTGGACGTTTTGAAAAGATTCAGAAGCTGTTTCATGGATTGGTATTCAAAGGAAATGTGAAGAAAAAATGGAAGAAGTTGGTCAAAAAATTTACCATTTTGATGGTAAAGCTCATAAACTTGGTAGTAAAGCTTGCACTCGCCCTCCATCAAAACACTGGCAGCTTTCTTCATTCGTTACTATCTAATCTGGTTCTTCTGGGGCTGTAAGGTATTATCCTCCGGGACGGAATACCAGGGAGTAGAGGGACCTCTCTCTAGTAGGGTACGCTCTCCACAAAAATTCCCCGAGAGCCCACGCGCGCGTACCGATTCTCGGGGATATCTCCGTGATTGACATGCAGGCCGGGAGACATCCCCGAGAACCGGTGACATTCTTTCCAGAAAAGACCAAAAAAAACTTGAATACATTCTTTCCCCCGAGAGTTTTCGGGGAGAGCATACCTTACCAGGGAGGGGTCCCTCTTCCATTCGGGGAAGCATACCTTATGGCCCCTGATTAGTAACAATGGCGCAATGTGGGTAAGGGGGCGGGATTACGTAAATTCGGGTCAGGATCACGGAAAGTGCAATTTCTCAGGGCCGAGCCTCTGAAGGGGAGAGGGGCTACGGTGTGCGACTCCGCAGCAAGCTTAGTCCTAGAAGGGGCCGCCTCCCCCTCCGGGCTACAATGCGCCGTTACAACTCAACAAGATGCGCATTCCTGAAAGCTTGCTATTTGTGCTGGTTTCTGAGTTGCCAATCTACTGGGGAGGCTAAGGGGACCACGCAGCGTGGCGCTCTGTTTGTCTGCACCTCTGGGGTTTAGTCATAGGAGTCGTTACTATTTCGCCGTATTTGGGGGGGGGGTCGACGGACTACTTGAACTCGGTCCTTTAAGCTGCCTCAGTTCACGCTCTCGTCTGCGCTCTCGCCTTATCAGCGGCTCATGACCACATATCTCACACATTCAAACTTTTGCCTGTAGTTGGCTCACCCACCTCGAGTCCCTCCCTCCTACAAGGCTTAGTCCTGGGCTCTCACCTTTTGGGATTTGAGCCGAGCCAGGCGCCGTTCTCTAGTCGTCTGTGCTCTCCACCATTCGTAGCGGTTGACGGACTACTTGAACTCAGATCACAAAAGCGTCGAGAGCTTTTCATGGGTCCGAGCACAGCGATCTCACAGCGGATACGCATTGATCGTCCGATTTTCCGATACCCTTCTGATTGGACGATCGATACGAAGTCGGTATGATGGGACGACTGACCATAAGTGCCCGAATGGGAGTACTGCATATGCCTAGATGCGAGCGTTCCAACGGGTTACTAACCGTTTCAATTGATTGGGCAGGCTTCGAGCGAGGTCACATGATCGCCAAGCTTGATTGTGAAATCATCTCTTCTTGAAAATCGATGGATTGGGTGCAGATTGTACTCTCGAGGTTGCAAAACAATTGGTTGGAACTTAGAGGGAAAGGAAGTCAAGCATTATTGCCTCCACTCCGCTACACGCTTGCTTTATCTATTATCATTCAGACTGGCGAAGGTGGATGCTCGACAATGTTTCCCCTATTACTACAGTTTTTAATGGATTTTCAGCTGTTCTTGTTGGGCAGTTTTCGAGATGCGAAAGTTGTCGCAAGCGTGATTTTTTCACAAATCTCTCCAAGCTTGAAATCGATTTTGGACCTGGTGCTTATCGCAGAAGACTGCTACCATTACGCCATGAGGTCCACATTTCAACTTTACCAGATTTCAGTGGTACATTTACCAGAGTGTTAAGTCGGGGGCAAAAGGCCAGTAAAGCAACATCAGTTTTTCAAATTGGTGATTTCTTGATAATCAGGTGAAACCGTTGCACTTCCTATTGATTCTAGAAATTTGTCTTCCGTGGTTCTTCGTTCTTGTGAAATCTTTCGCTCTTCCATTTTGAAGCATCGTTTCAAGTCCACTTATGTGGTTTGTCATAGAAGATGGTCCGTAGACGAACTGCATCGCCAAGGCCTTCGGGTCCCGTCCGACGAGCATCACCACCGCCGTCGGCCATGCGTGCTGCTCCACCTCCTGCACCCATGTCATCGATGCCAGCTAGATCAGGTAAAGCTTGCTTTTAGGCCTGAGTAAAGGTTTCCTATTTCTGATTATTCCTTTACAGGTGCTCCTATGGGAGCACCGATGGGCGCTCCGATGGGCGCCCCTTCGCAAGGACCAGGCTTGATGGCACAAATGGCGGCCACAGCCGGAGGTGTCGCCATTGGCAGCGCTGTGGTGAGTAATTTAATTGCTAGATTCGGCGTGTATTCTTGTAGATTTTGTTATGATAGATTGTGATCTTCGTTTATAGGGTCACACTGTTGGTCACATGCTTACTGGCGGAGGAGGCTCGTCTGCAGCAGAAGCCGCACCAGTTCAAGCTGGTGGTCATGAGGCTCCACAACAGCAAGCCTATTCTAATCCTTGCGAATTCGAGTGGAAACAATTCATTGATTGGTGAGCTTTTAGCCGTAGATGAACATTTAGATCTTTCAAAAAGTCCTTGCTATCTTCTTATGGTTACTTATTTTCAGCACTCAAAATCAGTCCGATGTTTCACTCTGCAATGGATTCAATGAGGCGTTCAAGCAGTGCAAAGCCCGTTATGTTTAGATAGGCCGTCAACCGTACTCAGAACTTTCTACCGTCAATTCTGTTTCCCTCACCGCTAGTAGTTGCATTACTTTGAACTCATTCTTCATTAAATCGTTCACAATAAAATTCAATAGTCTCCCACCGTAGGATGCAATTGTCCAAGTTGTTGTTGTTGTAGAGGTACGAATAAAATTTAGTAGGGAAGTGCTCTTGTGTTTAATAAAGTCATGCCTTTTCAATACTTATTAAAGTGGTGTCAACTTCGAAGGAGGGGAAAAAGTAAGGACTTGTTCCCGTTTTCAAGCCCGTATGAGAGCTTATACTAGTGGTTACTGAACTTCTTTGAACCTTCGGCCGTCGTCATCAGTTTCGGTATAGACAGAAATTTGTACATGTTTGCTTGTTCCTAAACCCTAAGCAATCGATTTGTGGTCAATTCGAAGACGCCTCGAGCTAGAAAGTTCTATCTACTGAACTGTGCTTCAGAAATGACTGATGGTCAAGCAAATGAGTTTTTGGTGGGAAGAATTTTCGGAACGTCTGGTGTCGCTCGCAGTGAGCTTCCCACTACACATAATTACTCCTGGTAAGTTTATTTTCAAAGCCCGGTAAAAAATCTGACAGTGGTAGTTTTTCGAAGTTGTCGCAAGCATGTCTCTCTTTTCTCTCGTATCGATCGCTTCGTACACTGATCGCCTCGGGGTCTGCTTGTCACACGCGAGTACGCTGCTCTTTGATATGACACGTAGTGCCCTCTTTTTCTTGCCTTCTGTTTTCGTTCAAGTGTCTACTTGCTTCTGAACTTTCGCATAGAATTTTCGCATGATTTCATTTTTTATCGCAATTAGGGATATTGTAAATGCTTACTACTCTTAGCATTACCGTTATCAGGTGAGAGCATAAAGTATGGTGAAAAAAAAATTGATTGTGCTGGTCGAGGGCAAAAGGATATCAATTATAGCAAAGTTCAATCATGTCTGAACAAAAATTGTTAGCAGTTGCTATTAAGTCCGGCTGCTCTTTAATTTACTAACTTTCTCTAAACCACAGAAGTCGACCACTGCCCGCATGAGGTCCTTCATAATTTTATGTGATGGTTTTTGAAGAGCAGCTTCTATGATCCATATGAAGTATGTTGTTTCGTGCACTTCAGCTTCAACGTCATCCACCTTGAATAATCGATTTCAAATCAGACGATTGGTTGGCTCAATCTTCGTGCGACATCAAGTCGGACAAATGGGCACGGACGTCAGACTTGCATAAGACTCATTCATAACTCGGCGCAGCTTCTTGCTGGTAAACCCAACCGTGCCAAAGCCTTTGAGGTGCTGGGAAGAGAATGAGAACTTTTGAGGGTTTCTGAAATGAACTCACTCATGATCAGTTCTGATGATTTTCTCATTGGCGTGGTGAGCTCTGTTTCACGCGTCCGCGCGCATGTTCAAAACCACTCATTTGAAACTGTTTTCCATGACATCGAGTAGACTTGCTGCCATTCGTAGGTTTCATAACTTAGACACTCTAAGAAAAGCTACGTCTTACAATGCTACATACGATATTGCTCGTTTCGGAATTCCTAGCCAGTTTGATCACGTTTCTCGGTGAGTTGGTTGGATACGCTTTTGTCAATAATTACGACCACCCTTTAACGTTCGCAACCAGCCGTCTACCAGAAGGAACATACGTGCACTTCATTGTAGCCATCAAATGGTGGTGCATTCTTCAGATCCCAGCGGCTCTAGTAGAAATGAGGAATGATTTCGAGCGGCACCGGGTGAGGTTAAGAAGACCGGTCGTTTCGGAGCAAGTGGAGCCACTCACCATAGAAGTTGTGAAACCATGAAACAGTAATGCATCTTATAGGCCATTGTAACAAATCTGATGATGCACGAGTTTACTCAATGATGTGAACTGCGTTTTTTGAAGTCCAATTCTGTCACAGATATTAGACAATGGTTTAATGATCATATTTTAGTAAGCGAATGTCATTCATTCTTCGTGAGGTTGTTTCTATGCGACAAAAGAGTATGGCCAGCCAAGTAATCATGAAGATGCTTGGGATGGCTTGCTCCGGTAGCCGTACACGAATCGCGCTACTCGTAGACCTATTAGCAGCTGGGGTTTGAAAGCAGCTGAGTCAGAGTTCCTTGCATACTCCTTTCTCTTTCTGTTCTGAGATGTTGTTGGTGTTTCTCTTTTGAGATTCTCAACAGTCTTCTATGAGTCGTTCAGCTAGTGCGGGGACGGGGACATCTTTTCTCATGATCCTGCGATCTGTGAAGTTGACTTTGTACGTAGACTACCTGCCTTTTTCTTGGATTCAGTGCTTACATCGTTTTTGTCCGTTACGATAGGTAAACGGCTCTTGTGGGAATCATACGTCAACAATTAATCTCTGGAACAGGGCATTGTCCGCATGATGGGCGATCGCAGAACGATGGGAGAACCTTCATTTATGAAAAGGACAGGAAGCAGTAATATGCAGGACGTCTGTCTTAGCAGAATTTGTGATTTTTATAGTGCTACGAAGTTTCAACCTGCAGTCTTTACTCATTTGACATACACTTTTGAAGTGTGCATCAATATTCAGTACCCATCCTGTATTCATGCCCCACCATTTGTTTCCAGGTGACGGTGTGAAATGGGTTTTTGTTAGTATCGTTCATTTTTCTTGTTGTGGTGATATTTTGAGTGCGTTAGTGGCGGGGCTATGCTAAAATATAAGATTAGAATCTATCAACGCGTCATTATGAATGCTTATCTCATCTCCAGGCTGAGGCATTAGTTCAGGTTCTTTGTTAAGAATTCACGAATATCTGTATTCGCTCAAATAGCCAAGTAAAAAGAAGAGCCCGCTAGACGTGGACAGCCTCCACTCGACAACCTGTGCAGGATGTCGACAGTCGGCTTCATCGGACTGGGCAACATGGGTGCCCACATGGCACGAAATTTGATGAAAAACGGGCACAAGCTTGTGGTCTATGATATCAACAAGACTGTGCTGTCAACTTTCAAAGTGAGCACTTACTTATAGACAAATTCTCTATTCTACCATACGCCACGAAAGAAACTCCTAAAATTTAAGGTAGATGGAGCCGAGAGGAGAACGGGATATGCCCCAAAGGATGAGGTGCAGCGGCTGATCTGCGTCCAAGGACATAATCACTATGCTACCGAGCAGCCCTCACCGTAAAGAAGGCATACGGAGGAGATGATGGTCTTTTGAAGTTAGTTGTTTAATTATCAGGATAGCCAATTATTCGTATAGAATGGGTTCGTTCCTATACACAAGCGCTCCTTGTAGGCGCGCTAGCCAAATATCTTGTCCCCAATAACGGCACTCGAAGTAACAATACAAACTTTTGATTCTACTTTCCAGAGGGATGCAGCCTGGAAGTTTATGCATAGATTCATCCACAATTGACCAGACGGCATCCATCGAGGTGGCGGAATGGGTGTAAAAAGAAAGCAAAGTACATATGTGGATGCCCCCGTCTCAGGTGGAGTGACAGGTGAGCTTTTCTTTTTCTGCGATTGACATTTCTATCACTCAGTAGGCAGAAACTGCCCTGCTGATCTGTGTTTTATATCTGCCATTTTAGGTGCGCAAAATGCTACACTCACGTTTATGTTGGGAAGTGGAAATTGTCAGAAGACTTTTGATCGCGCAGCGGCAATAATCAGGCTGATGGGCAAAAATGTGGTGAGTCCGCTGAAGTCGCTCATTCCGTATAAACAGCTTCTGTCTCCATTTGCGCATTAAGGTCATCGAGAAGTTTCTTTTATTTCTTTGTTTTCTTCTCATAACTGAACACTCTTAATTAAGGTTGTGCCATGAATGTGTTTTCAGGCCATTTATGTGATGGCAGATTTCGTACGACCCCACCCCTCCTTTTCTTGAAGTCCCCATTTGTATAATCCCCTCCTTTAAGTTTGTTTCTCTGTTCATGCGTAACTTGGGTGATCCATCCTCCATACCCTCCTCCTTCAGAGACATTGATTCTACTGGGGTAATAGCTCATTAAATAGCGGAGTTCCTCTGGATTTCATTCAAAGTTCTGCTACTTTTTGAAAAATCTTTTCCTTCTCTAAGGCTAGAAAAGAGTATGATGTGTAAGTACGACTCCCTAAAAAAAGCATCTCATCACTCCAACTCACCCTGATCCATTCTTTATGTTATTGCTCAAGATGAATGCGCCCCTCCCCCCGCCCGCCCCGGCCCCACCGTGTCTCGCGTTGGACGAGCTTCTAAACCAAAATCGCGGAAGTAGTTATTGAATCAGTGCTTTGTCAATAGGTGACCCAATTTACTGTTACAGGTGAACTGTGGAGATGTAGGTGCCGGCCAAGCAGCTAAAATCTGCAACAATATGCTATTAGCCATAGAAATGGCTGGAGTTGCTGAAACAATGAATCTCGGAATAAAGTAAGTGACCAAATGTTCCCTACAAATGGTGTTTTTCGACATTTCCTATTGATTTATAATACAAAAGTCAAATCGCTCACTCATCGAATGGTAGCGTGACTTGTTGCAGTCATCGTGTATATAGCGCTATACTTTTGATTGCGATACTTGGCGTGTTAAGGATCATTTTATGGTGAGATACGTTTTCTCTAGTCAACGTCGATGTTCTCGTGGAATGAGCTGTGGTAATATGGGGGTAGTTGTTGCGTCTAGCGAAAAGTTATGCTCCACTCAGCCACTGTTGAGTACGACTTAGTGTAGTTTGTATTTCTAAATTTCACGCAAACATTTAAGGATGGGTTTGGATCCAAAAGTACTCGCTGGTATAATCAATACCTCTTCTGGTCGCTGCTGGTCATCAGATACTTACAATCCTGTTCCGGGTGTGATCGAAGGAATTCCGCCAAGCAACGGATATCAGGGCGGCTTTGGGAGCGCTCTCATGGCAAAGGTGAGATGTTTTTCTCTGACTATCTGCTGGTTTTCAGAGTAACATTTTAATGTCCCTTATTAATGACGATTCCGACTATTGATTCCTGTCTTAGGACCTCTCTTTGGCGCAGAACGCCGCAACTACTACACAGTCACCTACGCCATTGGGATCTTTGGCTCATCAGATTTACCGCATTCTGGCACAGGATCCTAGATATGCTGGCAAGGACTTCGGAATTGTTTATCAATTTCTGAAAGAACAGAAGTAGAGTATCACTATATCTATGACAAGTGAAAAAATTGCAATTTAGTTTCATTGTCTCCTTCACTATTTGCTTTTCGCTCAAATTGTGATATTTTACTAGTGCCCAGTTATTACGCTACCTCTGGAGCATATTACGGTCGTTTGTGAAAGAACCGGTAAATATTAAGTGACGAATTCTGTGTCATTAGCATGTTGATATTCATGTGATTACCTTGTGGATGGCTCTTGCGTAATTGCTCTATAAGCGCGTCGATAATGGGGAAGTTTCCCAAATTTGGCTAGACGCAATTAATCTGAAGAATATGAGAAATGAAGAACTAGGTGGATTACTTTTCCCTGTGAAGTCTTTTTTCTGCAATGTTTCTCAATCAGGTGTGTAGTTATGCAATCGCAACTTAACGATGTCTTCATTTGCAAGCGTTCGTGTGTTTCTTGGCTATTGCTGGTTGATTGATATCTGGAAATCAATGGCGGAGTTAATATAGTGGCATGTTGCGCTGCTTACTATATTGCTTGCTTTTGAGTGTATAGTAAGCAGCGCCAGTAAAATCCTGAATTAGCTCAAATCTGACTTCCCCCAGTTTCGATTAATTGTGACCCTATTTCTTGGGGATAATCAGAAACGATTTATACATCAGCCAGCCGGGGATATGCAGTCTATATCTCGCCGTCTGAGTAGGCGTGTCTATGAATCTGACGTGGCCGTCGCCGCACTTGATAGAAGGCTTGTGGATAAGCTGTTTCTAACATACTCCGCTGGATATCAGCAAAGCATGCTGGAAGCAGCTTATCCGCGCAACTTCTATCAAGTGCGGCGGCCGCCACGTCAAATCCAAAGACACGCCTAATCAGACTTCGAGATATGGGCTGTATCCCCGTAGTCGATGCTCAGGATTTTGTGGGTGATTCACTAGAACAGAAAGCGACTTTTTCGTGTTTCGTGGCGCGACACATTGTTCGCTGCGGGGATCTCGGCGCCCCTGCTAATGATTCAGCCGGTGACCTGTAGGTTTCGCCCGCAGTGGATAAATGTTTCGCGCTGCGAAAAAGTTGCCTTCAGTTCCCTTGTGGACCCCTACCGTGGTTCGTCCCCCGATGCATTGCACACACGGAGAAGTCGACACGCAGTGACCGCTTCGCCAGTCAGGTCATACAGATGCCATCAAAGTGACGGTCCGCGACGAAACCCGATTGTCTCTATGTCAGGATGGGATATGTCCGCGAGGTTGGGGATGCGTTCCCACGTTAGCGATGTATCCCTAAGTTGGGGATGTGCCCCCAACGTCGGGAATTCATCCCACGGCCCCCTTCCCGATTTTGTGGACGTGCACGCGGGGGTCGAGGCGCCACGGCCCCCGGGTGCACGCCCACAAAATCGCGCGACGGATGCGGACTCTGGCACCAGCCTCTTAGCTGCATTGTTCTTGCTTTTCGCACGGTGAATACACTATTCATCACGTTTTGCGCATTTGTGAGAAGTCGGAGCATTGCGTCATCGTCCCCCGTTTACCACGAATCAGTTGGTAACTGCTTCGATCCAATCGTTGCATGTCATTGAAATGTTTGTGTGCAAGCCAGCCTGATCATTGATGCCTTAGAAACTACGGCTGCATCTGGTCTTTGGTACCTTCGCGAAATGGCAACATCCCATGGCATAGTTGTTTATTTCATGTTCCGTAGCTCCTGTAGGATCCATTCTTTCATGTGAACAGCCAAGGAATGTCCTACATTCTGCTTTCTTGTTTTTTTTTTGCCCCTTACTGATGAGCATAAGAGTAGGATACCTCAACTGTCTAGTTTCCGTCTTACCGTTAGACGGAAACTAGACTACTGTGTTGTTCCCCCCTTTTGATAATGTTATATTCTAAATTTCGTTTCATTGCCGTTAATAACATGA